GCTGCGGATATAAACGGGTTGACCTGCCGCCTGGAGGTCAGAAAAGATCTTCATGGTGGACACGAGAGGTTCAACTGGCAGTTAAAGAGAAAAAGCAGCGTTCAAGAAATGGCTTGGAAACAAAGAGCCTCTTCTATTCGCGTGCGATATGTCGAGGCACGCAAGGCGGTAGCGAAAGCAGTAGCGATAGCGAAAGCTGATTGCTGGGAGAAGTTCTGTACGGTGCTGGAGTCGAATTTTCACATGGCAAACAAGGAATTCTGGCAGACCATCCGCCGGCTTCGAGGTAAAAGAAGAGCAGTCTCAGAGTCTTGAAAGACAAGTCTGGACACCCAATTATCAAAAAACAGGAGGTTCTTTGGCGATGGAGGAGTACTTTGAGGAATTCCTTAACCTCGAACAACTGCAGGAAGACTCGCCTGTAGAGCAGCATGGATCAAATATTATTATTTCTAAACACGAAGTTGCACATGCTGTGAAAAAGCTGCTGGAATTGGTGAAATCCGCATGAATCAAATTTGCAACGCTTGTGTTGGCTTTCGTGTGTCCGTCAAACTGTAATGGCTACGGATAAGACACCAGTGGGCTGGAGAATGGAGGTTGTAATACCCCTGTTAAGAAGAGAGACCAGAGGGAGTGCTTCAATTATCGGGGCAATACATTATTGAGCTTCTCAGAAAAAATTCAGGTAAAGGTGTTGGAAGAGAGTGTCGTCTCCGGCCCCGCCTAAGCACTTCCCACTACGTATTCGCCCTATGCCAAATTCTTCAGAAATCAAGGTGGTTCGCCCATTTTGTGCGCATGTGCTTTGCTGACCAAAAGAAAGCGTTTGACCAGATCCCGCACAACTGTCTGTGGGCATACCCGTGAACATATGCGATCGATAACCAGTTGGTACGAGCCATCAAATCACTGTACTCTGAAAGCAGGTGCTGCTGGTCAGAACAGATGACGTTAAGCCGAAACGTTTCAACATTGCACTGGTCTCCGCCAGGGTTGCGTTCAGTTGCCTTTCCTGTTTGTGTTGTACACGGACGGAACAGTCAGCAGCAGCCAAAGCAATGAGTTTATTCGTTTAGGAGGTGCCGAGGCAATAACGTTACTGTTTACAAACGACTTTGTTTAATTGGCATCTTCTGAAACTGATCTACAGTGCTCTTTAGAAAGGTTTGCAGCCGAGGGCGACGTGGCAGGCGTGCATGTGAATCTCTCTGAAGCGAAAGGCCAAGTGCTCTCTCGTTCTCCTGATCATTGCTCCCTGCAGATTAACGGAGAAGCAGTGATACAGCTAGAGAACTTCAAGTACCTCAGGGCCGTGTTTCCTGGTGATGAAAGTTTAAGGAAAAGATCGACCAGCGGATTAGAATAGCCAGTGGGGTTCCTCGTGAACCAGCCCGAACTATTGTGATTAAATGAGACTGAGTCTGAAGACTAAGCTCTCGATGTTCAAGTCAGTCTTCATCTCCATGCTCCGCTATGGTCATAAGTCATGGGCCACGACTGAAAAACTTCGATCCTTGATACAAGCGGCAAAAATG